ACCTTTCAGCACCAAGCACCTGTCTTGGTTAAAATCTGGCAGACTATTACCTAACATATCACAAAGAAAAATTTAAAGTATTTAATAATATTGAAAACTTTAGTATCAGTATTTCATCCTGACTTACCATGGCTTTCAGGTATCCTATTTCATGAATTAGTTTGAAAATCTATGTACAAAATATAAAACCTCCTGAGGGATGTAGCTAAGAAGTATGCACAAAGCCCTGGCTTCAACCCCTAGCACCCCCTCTCACCCAGATAACAACAAAAATCCTACAAAAAAGTTCCTTTCCTTTTTTTTTTTTTGGTCTTTTTGAGATAGGATCTCCCTGTAGCCCCAGCTATCCTGGAACTCACTATGTACACCAGGCTGGTCTCGAACTCACAGAGATCTGCCTGCCTCTGCCTCCTGAGTGCTGGGATTAAAGGCGTGCACCACCATGCCCAGCCCTTTCCTCTTTTAAATGGCAACTTTCCAGATTTTAAATATTATTCCCAAAAGGGATCTCAAATAATCTAGAATAGCTTAAAAAAAAAAAAAAAGGCATTAGCTATTTTAAAGATGAAAAGAATGTGGATCCAGGCCAGGCATGGTAGTGCAAACCTCTTAATGTGGAGGGGAGGCAGTTAACAGGCAAATCACCTCATGTTCCAGGCCAGTCTGGCCTACATAGCAAGTTTGTCATCTAAGGTTATACAGGAAGACCTTGTCTCAAAGAGTCAAACCCCATCTCTCTCAGATCCAAGAGAATAACATCTAATAGCCTCTTTTTCAGGCAAAAATGTAACTGTCAACACTGAAGACTACCCTTTTAAGACACTGTAGTTTACAGCATGTGCTCCAAGAGAGTGAGGTGTAAAAGAACAGTAAACAGCTATATACCTCCCCAGGTCGGGCACAGCCTCACCTACTTCAATCCAGACGGTGTGCTACAGGGCTGAGGCACTCTGCTGCAGAAATCTAGCTCCAATTTCTAACTCATTGGCTGGCCAATCATCGAATATGAATACCAGATCTACTTCCATGCCTTCCCCTTGTCTAGTAAACTGTTACTATGGAAAATGTCAAATACACACAAAAGTAGAAGAATGTAACAAACACCTATGGATCAGGCTTCAACAGCTACCAACATGTGGTCAATCGTACTTCATCTATAAACCTTCCTAATTCCAAAACTCATTTGGTTTTATTAAGGTTACATGTAATTTAAATTCATTTACAAAATTTTTCAATTTGTTCTACACTGATTGGGGGGGGGAGAGAGAGAGAGAGGGAGAGAGAGAGAGAGAGTGTGAGAATGAGTTCCAGTCTTCTACAGTATATGACTTCTCTATTAGAAACCTCAACTTGAGATGATTACTGTTTTTTTTGTTGTTGTTGTTTTTCTGAGACAGGGTCTCACTATGTAGCCCTGGCTGGCCTGGAACTCCCTAGGTAGACCAGACAGGTCTCAATTTCAGAGATCTGTCTGCTTATGTCTCCCGAGTGCTGGGATTAAAGGCCTATCCCACCACGTCCAGCTTTGATTACCACATTTTAACAAGGGGAGAGAGGGATGGAGAAAGCTGATCAACGGAACTAAATGAGATAGGACTAAGTTCACACTGGCAGGGTGAATACAGATAATCTATTAACACACCAGGTATTTCAAAGTTACAAAACAAAGAACTTTCAGTGTCTTTACCATAAATGAGAAAGGTCCCTATAGGATCAGAATCAGAGGCTCACTTTTTTCGTTTGGTAGTGAAATTATAACTTTCCATAGCCCCCAGGTCAGTGGCTCCAGACAGCTGCCCTCCTCAAACAACTGTAAAAAGCTAACATCTCAAGCCCAGACTATTTTGGCACCACACATACAAGTTTCTATCATGCTTAACCAAGAAAAGGAGCCCTACAGTAGGAGGAAACTGCTGGTAAACCCGTGTAGATTAGCAGTGCCTTAGCAGTTCAGGACAGAGGATTATGGAATGAGTACCTTCCTCTTCTTCCACTTAAAAAATTAGGTATAAGTCACAGAACATAAAAGTTATTATTTTAACCATTTAAAACTGCATGATTCAGCAGCTTTCAGAAAATTCACAATTTTATGCAATAGTGTCTGAATGCTTTCATTACCTCAAAATGAAACTTTGCACTGTTAGGCAATCATTTCCCCCATATATACTCAGCCGCTAGCAAACACTGATGCTTTCTTTTTTTTTAAAGCGCATCTGTTTCTTCAGGGTTTTTTTTCTTTTCTTTTTCTTTTTTGGCCTTTTTGAGACAGGGTCTCCCTGTAGCCCCAGCTGTCCTGGAACTCACAGAGATCCTCCTGCCTCTGCCTCCCGAGTGCTGGGATTAAAGGCGTGTACCACCATGCCTGGCCCTCTTTCAGTTTTTGAGATTTTACTTTTAATCCTATGTATGTGTCTGTGTTTGGGGGGGGGGGGGAAGATATGTACACGTGGGTGCAGATGACTCTAGGTGAATTCCCTGGAGCTGAAGTTGTAATCTGCCCAATGTGGGTACTAGGAACGGAACCCTGGTCCTCTGCAAGAGCAGTGCATGCCCTTAACCACTGAGCATCTCTCCAGCCCCACATGTATCTCTAAGAACATTTCATATAAAATGAATCATACAAATGCATGCATAATGGAGTTCTATTGCTGTTAGTCCTGAAACAAGGTCTTGCTGTATAGCCCTGGCTGGTCTAGTACTTACTATGTATACCAGGCTGGTATCAGAACTTGTGGCAATCCTCCTGCCTCAGTTCTGAGTTCTGAGATTATAAGATTGTGGCACCCAGCCCCAGCTACATGTAGATTTTTCTGTGTAGTTTGTTTTACTCAATGTGTTATTTTTTTGTATTATGTTTTCCTGGTGCTGGGGAATAAATCCAGAGCCTTGCCAAGAACTCTGCTGAGAATTGATCTCAGCCCTACACACAGCATATAAATATCAAGCTTTCATTCTATTTTTTATAAGTGAATAGTATTCCATTGTATGGATATGCCACATTTGTTTATTCATTCATCAGTTGAACATTTGGGTTGTTTCTACTTTGAGTTAATATGAGTAAGGCTACTGGGAACAAGCCTTTTTTTTTTTTTTTTGAGACAGGGTCTCATTATGTAGCCCTTGTTGGTCTGGAACTTGCTATACAGAGCAGGCTAACCTCAAACTCAGATCTCTGCCTCCAGAAGGCTGGGATTAAAGGAGTGTGCCACTACAAACCAATTCTTTAAATTGACAAAGACCTTCAAATAGATATTTCTCAGCTGGGTGTGATAGCTAGCCCATGCCTGGAATCCTGGTACTCAGGAGGCTGAATTAGGATTTGCCACCAGTTTGAGGGCAGCATGGGATATATAAGGAGTTCCAGGCCAGCCTGGGCTAGAGAATGAGACTGTCTCAAACAAACAGGATAATTGCCTATTTGTCCTCCAAAGACATACATTTGGCTGATAAAAACATGAAAAAATGGAAGGCTAGGTTGTAGCTCAGAGGTACAAAGCTCGTTAAGCATCTATAAAGCTCTGGGTTTGATCCCTAGTACCAAAGAAAAAAAAACATGAGAAAATACTTGTCAATTTAAAAACTGGAGAATAGTGTTGGGAAGACCGGAGAAAGCTGATCATAGCACATTGCTGTGAGGAATGCAAAATGGTGCTGCTGCTATGGAAAACAATGCATACACTGGGCATGGCAGCACCTGTCTAATCTCCGCCCTTAGGAGGTCTACGTAGGAAGATCATGAGTTTCAAGGCCAGCCTGGGCTACACAGTGAGAGACACTAACCAAAAACAAAACAACCAAACAATAAAAACTATACACAGAATTACATTGTGATCCAGTAATTCCACTCAGGCATATTCCTTTTTTCTTTCTGAATCCTTAAACACTTCCAAGATCTCCAGATATAAGAGCAGAATACAAATTTGGAATGATATATTCGTACAGGAAAATTCTAAACTGCACCTCTCTTCTGGGTAAAGATATGCTACTCAGCTCCCTTAAAAACTCTATCTCAACACTTGTTTGAATTTGTATAATGGGGTAACAAAATTCTTTGCTGTCTAGAAAATAAAAGAGGCAGAGGGAGGTATTGTGAGTTTGAGGCCAGCCTAGTCTAACCATAGTGAGTTCCAGACTAGTCGGGTACACAGTGAGACCCTATCTCAAAAAATAAATAAAAAGAGGGGGCTGGAGAGATGGCTCAGCAGTTAAGAACACTGGCTGTTCTTGCAAAAGACCTGGGTTCGAATTCCAGCATCCACATGACAGCTAACAACTGCCCGTAACTCCAGTCCTGGGGATCTGACGGCCTCTTCTGACCTCCACAGGCACTGCACGATACGGGTGCACTTACCTACATGGCAGGCATTACACATATACACATAAAATAAATTTAAAAGTTAAAAAAAAAAAAAAAAGAGAGAGAGAGAAAGAAGAAAAAACCTTAAGAATGCTGTTCTTAGAGAACCCGGATTCAGTTCCCAGCACCCACACTGCCACAACCAACCATTTCTAACTCCAGTTCCAGGGGCTCTGATGCCCTCTTCTGACCTCCACAGGCACTGGTGTATTTATAAACATTCAGGCAAAACACATACATACATACATACATACATACATACATACATACATAGACACACACACACACACACACCAGGTGTGGTGGCACATGCCTTTAATCCAGCACTCAGAGGCAGAGGCAGGCCGATCTGAGTTCAAGGCCAGCCTGGTCTACATAGCGAGTTCCAGATCAGCTGGGGTTACAGGGAGACCCTGTCCCAAAAATACCCCCCCAAAAGAAAATAAAAGAGGTAAGGAAGAAAAAGAAAAGCTCACTAAGCAGTTTTTCAGTTGGCCTAATCACATTTATTTAATCTTTTGCCACACCTGGAAGCAAAGAAAAACAGGACTCAAAATAAAAACTATTTTCCCCAACAAATGATTTACCCAAGTACAAACTCCGTGTTTTACTGCTCAAGTTAAGAAGTTAGCAAGATTTCTACCTGAGATAGATGGCTCTGTGCTTTTGTTAGTGGAGCTGTCCGAATGTTTAAAGACTGGCTCCTGGTTACAGTTGCCCCAGAAAGGGATGTTCCATTGGACTTTCTTCCTAGTTGACAACTTGCTGGAGACCTCTCTTCAAGAAGAACAGCATCCCAAGGGTCCTCTGCTAGCAAACTTGGGATCTTTTTCTCTTCTTCTAGATCTAATAACTCCACACTGTCCATCTTGGGCTTACTTAGAGGATCCAAGTCTAACCAGTCAAATTTACTGATGTCCTCAGTCTTTGGAGATACCTGTAGACTGCTGATTGAGGGCTGTGAATGTGTTATCTCCAAATCAGTCCTTGCTCTCCCATTTTTTAAAAATTCGGATGTACTCGCTATTTTGTCAAATAGTTTTGCCATGTCAGGACTGACTAGAGGCCGATAGATGGGTAAGCTTCCTTGTGGATGAACTGGTGTGCCAGGTGTCAAAGGACATGAAAAGTATGGAGACTGTCCTGGAAGTCTTAAATATAAAGGTTCTGTAGATGGAAAAGTAGGCATCCTCGGATTGAAGCCATTCTGGAATGTGGCCTGTTTACTGTAAACTGAAGGATAAACAGAAGGTAAAGTGTAAGTGGAAGGCCCAGATAATCCAGGGGGCCATTGTCCTCTTTGAACTACAGTAGGTCTGAGATAGAGCTGTGCTGAAAAGGAAGGGCTGACAACGGGAGCAACTGGCAACATGGGGGCTTTTCTAGTCTCAAAGGTGTCGTCCAGCAGTAACTTCTCAAGCTCGGCTTGGGTGAGCTTTTCTACATCGATATCTACTCCTTTCTTTTGGGAATCAGATTCAGGAAACACCATGAGATCATACTCCTGTGCATGAAAACCTTGTGATCTTTGTCTTGTACTGCTGGACCACTCCAAGCCTCTCTGGCTATCAGTCCCCTGCCTGTCCTTCTGCAGTCTTGCTAAGGCCTCTGCTTCCATCTGCAAGGCTTCTGCTTTGTCCACATCTTTTGTCTGCATTGGTTCCAGATGTGAAGATGAACACTGATTAAATTCACTGTTGTTGGAAATCTGAGCCATGTCCACAAAAGAGGCCAATCCTTTCCTTAATCTTTTTTCTTGTAGCTTCCAAAATACCAAGACCTATATACATAGAAATAAATATGAGTTAGATTTCCTAAACATAAATTCATTTTGTTTAAAACCTATCCCATCTTAAGTTTTAAATCCACTTACAAAAATACACTATCAAGCATAATAGAATGAACAAGTCAGTGAAATCTGAAAGAACAAGCACTTAGTACCTTATCCACTGCTGGGTTAGAAGATGTTTAGACACACATTTATACATTTAAATTTCCTGAACTCACAAAAAACCTGGCAGAGTACTTCACACCAGCTGCCAAAGGGTTGTGCTAACCAGTGGCCTTCTGGCTTTTTTCCTACATGAAATGACTTGAGTACCACTCATGTATTTTCAAGACAGGTTTAAGGTTATGCAGCTAAAAAGTCAAAAGGACTATGACCCTCTTGCTATTTGTTATATTGTCCAAGAGCAAGTTAGTGATAAAAATATTAGATGCTAGTCTGGAGAAATGGCTCACAGATTAAGAGCACTGGCTGCTCTTGAAGAGGACCTGAGCTCCATTCCCAGCACCCACATGGCAGCTAACAATTGTCCGTAACTCCAGTTCCAGGGGAATCTGACGCCCTCTTCTGACCTCCTTGGGCACTGCACACATCACAGGTACACTTACATACATGCAGGCAATACACTCAAAAAAAAATATTAGTTTTATAGTAGATGCAGCTGGGTATGGTGGTGCCCGCCTTTAATCCCAGCACTCGGGGGGCAGAGGCAGGTGGATCTCTGTGCGTTCAAGGCCAGCCTGGTCTACATAGTGAGTTCCAGGGCAGCTGGGGCTACAGGGAGACCCTGTCTCAAAAAGACCCCCCCCCCCAAAAAAAAGTAGTAGATGCATAACCAATAAATAACTACCACTTGATTGAAATATAAGAAACACTGATTAGGCCAGGCATGGTGGCGCATGCCTTTAATTCCAGCACTCAGGAGATAGAGACAGGTGGATCTCTGAGTTCAAGGTCAGTCTAGGCTACATAGTGAGTTGCAGGCTAGCTGGGGCTATAGGGAGACCATCTCAAAAAGACCCAAAACAAAACAAGAAACCCGAAAACACTGATTAAGGTTTCATTATGCTTGCTTGGTGTGGTGCACACCTTTAATCCCAGCACTTAAAAGTCAGAGACAAGTGGAGTTTGAGGCCAGCCTGGTCTACATAGCAAGTTCCAGACCAGGCAGGGCTACACTGAAAGACCCTGTCTCAACCCCTTCCCCCAGAAAAATTTTTATTATATTCTAGAAATGTTAAGAACCTATATAGTAACATGACTTAAAACAGCAAGACAGGGGCTGGAGAGATGGCTCAGTGGTTAAGAGCACTAGCTGCTCTTCTAGAGGACCTTGGTTCTGTTCCCAGTACCCACATGGCAGCTGACAGGTTTTAAGAACCAGTTTTGTTATAACTAAATTTATCATGCAACTCTGAATACACTTCTATTCAGAGTATCTGCAGTTAACCTTAAAATCCTTATTTTTTTTTTTTTTTTTTTTTTTTTTTTTTTTTTTTTTGTCTTTTTGAGACAGGGTTTCCCTGTTGCCTTGGCTGGCCTGCAGCTCACTATGTAGACCAGGCTGACCTTGAACTCACAGATCTGTGGGTCTCTGCCTCTCAAGTGCTGGGATTAAATGTCTGCATCACCACACCCAGCTCCTCCTTAAGTATTTTTATTCATGAAAAACATTAGAAGCTTATTTTTTGTTTTGTTTCTGTTTTTTGAAACAGGATTTCCTCATAGCCGCAGCTGGCCTGGAACTCACTACGCAGACTAGGCTGCTAGGACTAAAGGTGTGCACCACCACACCGAGCTAGATGTTTGTTTCTGTTCAAGACAAATATTCTAGGAGGTGAAGACAGAGGAATCAGAAATTCAAGATCATCCTCAGTGAGTTAGTTCAAGGCCAACCTGGGCTACAATGAGACCCTTTCAAAACAAAGGGTAGGGAAAGAGGAGGGTAGGTTATATGACCTTTTGCAAGGGAAAATCTTTCAGTGTGCCTCAGTTTAATTTTAAAGATAAAAAATTAACAGGCAGAGTAAATAAATAATTCAAAAAAATGCTTATCCCTGAACTTCAGTATATGCACTAAATTAGTGCTATCTGTAATCTAATATGGTTTGCCTCATATCTAGTTTGAATACTTAGTGTAAACTGAAGTCCAAAGAAAGCCTCATTTGTGTTAAAGATTCTTTAAGGCTAATTATCTGATCAAAATTTCTGTGATTATGGAGAAATGGAAAGTTACAGGTCCAGAGTCAAATTATCCTGGGCTACCTTTAACCCACTTGATAACTATCCATTGTTCTTTTTTCTTTTTTTTTTTTTGGTCTTTTTGAAACAGGATCTCCCTGTAGTCCCAGCTGGCCTGGAACTCACTATGTAGACCAGGCTGGCCTCAAACTCAAAGAGATCCACCTGCCTCTCCTTCCCAAGTGCTGGGACTACAGGCATGAGCCACCATGCCCAGCTATTACATAAACCTTTTGGTAATGTGCTAAACAGACCACTAGCTTTCAACTTTTCTTTTAGACAGGCTCTTACTATGTAGTTCTGGTCTGGAACCCACTATGTAGACCAGGTTAGCCTCAAACTCAGAGATCTGCTTGCCTCAGGAGTGTTGGGATTAAAGGCACATGCCACCAAACCCTGAAGTTTCCACCAACTTAAAGGGTAAGATAGCATCTGAGGCCTGTAACAGAGATGTCCCTGCTTTGCTGCAACCTGCCTACTCTTATGTTTCCACCAATATATTTGAAAAGCGCCTTCATTTATGACTTTTTGTTCTGTCACTATAAAAAACTTCCAAGAAACTGTTACTACACGGTATTTTGGCAACTTGAACCTGTGTTCTTAGGCTGTAGTCAACTCATATTTGGCTCCACAATCAACTGTCACTTATTCTGAGATGAGAGCTGTGGGTTTTTGTTGTTGTTTTGGGTCTTTTTGAGACAGGGTCTCCCTGTAGCCCTGGCTGGCCTGGAACTCACTAAGCAGATCAAACTGACCTTGAACTCAAGAGATCCGACTGCCTCTGCCTCTCAAGTGCCAGGATTAAAGGTGTGTACCTCTTCCGCCTGAGAGTTGTGTTTTTATGTCAATACTAGAAAGCATGAAAGTACCTTTTATGCCCTAGGGGGTTTTGTAATTTTATGTGTGTGAATGTACTGCCTACCTGTAGGGACACCCATGTGGTGCAATGTCTGAGCAGCCAATGCTCTGAACCACTGAGCCATCTCTCTAGTCCCTAGGGATTTTTTGTTGTTTGTTTTTTAATCACTGACAAACAGCATTTGTCTACCTGATAGTATATATTAATAAATGCCTGGTAGGAGATAGCACCAAGAATCCAGGGATAAGGCTCAGTTATAAAGCACACTCCTAATGAAAAGACTAGTGATGGGTGATGAATGTCCTCAGGGTACTGTTATTATTTCATACAACTGTAGTTTTCATGTCTGCAGCATTTTACCAAATGCTATTCCAAATTTACCTCTGTGGTAGACTGCTCAATATATAATATTTATATGCATCACTGGAAGTAAACTTGGTATCAAAAGAAAGAAACCCAAAGAAATATTAAACTCTTGTTAAACATGCACAACAAACTCAAAGGAAAATATTGATGTGTACAACGTACTTTGCAGTACATCTTTAAAAAATAAAAAAAAAAAGGTGAATTGGCTGGGCATGGTGGCTCAGGGGTTAAGAACACTGGTTGTTCTTGCAGAAGACCGGGGTTCAAATCCCAGCACCCACATGGCAGCTAACAACTGTCCATAACTCCAGTTCCAGGGGATCCAACAGCCTCTTCTGTCCTCCTCGGGCATTGTACAACATGGGTGCCCTTACCTGCATGCAGGCAATACACTCATACACATAAAATAAATATTAAAAAAAAAAAAAAGAGGTAAGGGCAAAGTCAGCCTGAATTACTGAATTATGTAAGACCCCTGCCTCGCTCTCCCCACCCCACACATGAGATTGAATCAATTGATAGAAGGATGACAACTGGATAAATATGAGATCAGGTAAGGATGGAAAATGTAACACAGTCTCAGTGACAGGCCTATGAGTATTCTACCCTAAAATTCTTTCAACTCTGCTACCATTAACTGAAAATATACACAATGAAATGGAAGGAGGGTTCCCACTCCAATATACACCTTCCTTTGCATATTGGTTTTTCTGCCTCTTGTGAAAGGGGTAGAATCTATTTTCTTGATCTGAACAGGCACTGGAACTTGTCTTAGCCACTAGAATGTAGAAGAAATGACATCATGGGAGTTCCAGACAAGGTCAAAAGAGATTGCTTCTGAGGTTGCTAGGTGAATGCTCGCTGAGAATAAGAGACCTTGAGAAAAGCTCTGCTGAAAGTCTGCAGCCTACCCAACATACTAAAGACTCCACATACTACCCGTTCACAGTCCAAATGGCATAAGCCCCATGAGTGGCCCAGTTAAGGAGATCAGCAGAAGAAATCATCAGATGAGCTCAAGACAAACAGCTAATCAACATAATCATACTGGAATGTTAGCTACAAGGCTAATAAATAACATTTTCTTATTTGTTTTACTTTTACTTTTATTTTCTGCAATACTGGGATAGAGCCTAGGACTTCCTACATGTTAAGCAAGTTTTTCTACCACTTAGCTTTAATCCCAACTTTCTACAGTTTGGAAAACAAAACTGAAGCCATTTAGCTAGTGGCAGGGGGGAAAAAATTCTAGCTATGGGGATGGTAACACCCATACAAAAGTCTAGCCAAATTGATGGGCTTCTGTAACCCCCTCCTCTTGCTGGGATTTGGGGGTGGGGGGGACAAAAGGAGACAGGACAGGAAGATATCCATAGCTCATTGGTCAGCCACCTAGTCACTCAGTGAGCTCCAGGTTCAGTAAAGGACCAGAGCTCAAATTCCAGCTCCCATGTTCCATAAAGGTTTGCAACCTTTATAAATAAATAAATCTTAAAAAAATAAAGGGGCTGGAGAGATGGCTCAGCGG